AAATTGTAAAGCAATTTAAATTGCTTTTATATTAAAATGGTAAAATCTAAAGTATTCAATAGATCAAGGGTCTCAAACTCAAATCATCAGGGAGGCAGCAGGAGGTAGTGTCTGAATGAGAGTGGCCCGCATCAAGTAATCCACAAAAAAGCGATTACAACTGTTACAATCTGCTCAACCTTTATAAATAACAATAAAATCAGATATCAGAATTGGGGAAACGGTCCGGTGCATTTACACTAAACTTTTCTGTCGTAAAATATCGTCTTGCGGGTCACAAATGGCTCGTGGGCTGCGAGTTTGAGACCACTATATTAGATGTTTATTTATTAATATTCACGATTATCTCATTTTTATAAAAAGAATGTAAATATTTATACTTTCCCACATCATTTTCGATGTATACAAAATGTATGCGGGAATGAATTTCAAAATATCTTAATATTTCATTTTCGGTTTCGGCTTCGGTTTCGGCCGAAATTCATTTTAAACTTTCGGCTTTTCTTCGGTTTCGGCCGAAATTCATTTTTAAACTTTCGGCATTTTTTCGGTTTCGGCCGAAAGTCATTTTAAACTTTCGGCCTATTTTCGGCTTCGGCCGAAATCAGAAAATCACTTTCGGTCGGTCTCTAATTGCAATACTTCTTGAAATTTGATATTGGTATTGCCAATAATTATTTTTGATATTGGTATTGATTTTTAACCAATACTAAAAGCAATATTCAATAAATTCTCTACAACATTGGTTGTGAATAAAGCTGAATATAATAAATTTTTCTTTGGTGTCGCCATCTTGCGAGTGACATTGCCAAACAATTTTTGAATGAGACTGATCAATGAAATGAATGATAATAGAAATCAAATCATATAATATGATATCTTTGGCAATGAGCATTGACCAGTGACTTACCAAGGCTCGATTAAGGCTTAGGCACTTTAGGCACCGTGCCTAGGGCCTACACACAAAAATAAGGCCAAACAAAGAAAAAATATTTCTTTCATTCATCCATCCATTCATTCATTCACAATATGTGTACAGTATACATATTAAAAATCTTGTTGCTTAAGGACGTTAAGGTATGCCGACTTATTTAATATGTTGTCAAAGACTTTTGAATGATTTGAGGAAAACTGATGAAGCAAGTGTTAACTATTGAACAAAATTTGGTTAAAAATACATTGTCTAAATTAGCCAAAAATGTTGTTATCGTTTATCGATGTAAGTGATATAGAGCGATGAATTACGTATTTGCGTTTTATTCGTCGAATGACCCAAATATTGGTATTGGTAAGGCAATAATAAATAAATATTGGTATTGGTATTGCAATACTGGTTTTAAAATTGTATTGGTATTGGTATTGCCAATAGATTTTACAGGCAGTATTGGTATTGCCAATAATTTTTTTTAGTATTGTTAACAACCCTGCCCAAAGGGGTTTTTATAACGCCATAGTCTATTCGTAAAATGATTTGTGTGAACATCTGATATTCAGTAATCTCATTGTCGTGGAAATTGTGTAATTAGTTTAGGGAATGTACACGTAAGAAGCTAGGAAGGCGGCGAACATGCGCATCTTTTCCAAACCCCCTCAGTTGGCTCAACCCCTCCCCCCCCCCCAACCCGACATCCACACCCAGTATTATAAAGTGGGAAATGCAAGTGTAATTAACTTTGTTATGTAGAACATGTTTACACCACTTTCCTCGTGCCACGCACTCTGGTTGACCCCACATGACACGGCGTTCGCATTTGGGTGTGGCCTATTTTTCCTATCATCTAGCCGTTGTTTTCCCACAACTATCAACTAAAAATAATTAATATATTCTAATAGAATTTTAGGGAAACTTCGATAATTGACTAGAAAGATAAAGACATTTCTAGAAGCGTTGGTTCTACCGACGCATAGATATAAAAAGGGGACTCATCGAGAGAGATTCAGATAGATATTTTTTTTAACTTTACGAGTCTTAGTGTTATTATTCTTTGTGACCTCATATATGTTTATTCGCATTCGTCATTGTACATTATTGATTGGCACATTATACTAACGGTGTTAACTGTGTACCGGTACAAGATCTACCAAACCCTATAAGTTAATTATTTGTAATTATATTTTCTTTTGTTTTGTAATTACTTTAAAAAATATTAATTATAGTTAGTACAGTTTTTGAGTGTCGTAACTTTACTATTGTATTTCTCTATGGTATCGTCCTTTTGTTATGCACTGTTTTGAACGAGCCATACAATTAAAATAAGAGATTAAGTTCTCACAATAGAAGGCAGTGCGTCACAACTTACTTTCTCAATTTACAACGCTCACTGATGTCATCAAAACAAGCAGCACAAAACTAAGACAGAGATAGACATACGCTATACAGTTCTTTCTGTAAAGTATACTGTTGATTCATAACATATAACTGATGTTTTTATGTCACGTAAAGCTAAATTCAATAGACCGACATCGTCTAAAGCAGCATATAGCACACAAAAAATAGTTGGTGGACGTTCGCAAAATCCTTAACACCACCTACCTTTTGTCCTAATTGCATGTCAGCATTTGAAATACCACCCCCCCCCCCACACACACACACACACATTTTGCGGACGTTTTTTTATGGGCGAAC